AGGATGAAGTGTGTGCTGCAGGAGGCTCTGGCCATAATTCCATTTTAGAGAATATATTTTCAGGTTCCTGAAAGGCACTGGCTGGAGTAGAAGCTCTGTGAGTGATGATGTGTCTGTGTGAGAGCACCTCCACCGCTCCTGTGAGATGTAAAACCAGTGGTGCTACTGCTTCCACCCCCTTGGAGAGGCTGCCCTTGGCTGATTTGGGTCAGATTTGTTATTTTAATAGAATCATGCTGTGCAGTGTAGTAGGATAATGGGATTGTTTGTCTTTCCTATTGTGCTCTTCATCAATAGAGTTTTTTTTTTCCTGTGGATACTAAAATTTCCTCTATTTTAGAGGTGAGGAGTTGTTGCAAAAAGAGGTGACCAGGGACACAGGCAGAGACAGGAGCACATTTGCCTCCAGACTCCTGTTCTCTGTATTTCCCAGTCCCTTAAAGCTAAAGAATGACCAAACCATTTGAAAAATATCAAAATATCAACTCTATTAGAAAAACAGTCAATAGATCATCCTGCTCATTTATCCCCATAGTATCCATCTGCAACTTATTAAAGGAGCCTAAAAGTGAAGCCCTCATTCACCACCTCATTTTTCTTCCCCTTTTGTTTGTTTGCCTGCTTACTTGCCTGGGAATTTGTTACACAGAGCCCTGGGAATGTAGAATGTACTATAAAAATAAATAAAAATGCCCTCTGAGTGCACAGATCACCCCTGAGATGGTGCCTGCTGGGCAGCCCTGCACTCCGGGGTCACAGGGCTCCAATTCTGGAACCTTTTCACCCAAAACTCCTTGAAGAACTGTGGGATCAGTCCTAATGAAGCTGTAACATGGATTGTGGAATGAGGGACCTGGAGGTTTTCAGGGGCACAGGAGCACTGCAGTGTCTGCAGGTGAATATTCAGTGTGTGAGCAGGATTGCCCTCTAATTAATTTCTCACCAGCTCATCTACATTCCTCTGCCAGTGGAAATAGAGCTTTTTGTTATTATTGTTCAGAAATGAGTATAACTTTGAGCTTCATTAAAACCAAATGTTTAATTGCACTCACAGATCTCAGGTTTATCAATTTACTTAATTTCCCCTGTATAGTGCAGCAGAATAATATATAATAGTTTCATATAGTGCTGTCCCAGCCAAGATTTGCTTCAGCATCACAGTTTCTCAGACAAGTATGTGTTGATGGTTTATGTTGGCAAGACCTGTGCTTCTGCTGACAAGTTGGAAAAGAAAAATCCCATTTATATTTTGAGATTTCCTAAAGCCTGTTGATTTATGAAATACGACTGGCCTCGCTTTAGGTTTTGTTTTGGTTTTCCTTTTTAAGAGGAAAAAAAAATTATATTTGATTTTATCGACAGTTTAAAAAGTGGAATTATTCCATTAAATTGCCTTTCCCTGATTGAGAGATTCCTGGCAATGTGGAGTTATGTGAGTTTTAATTTCTGTTTGAGACGTGGAGGGCTCTCCCATCCCATGCAGACATTCCCAGGTGTCCACATGGCTCAGAAGGGAGGACAGGAGGCAGAACCCCTGAGATTCCCATCTCCAGGGTGGAGCAGCGGGGATGTGGAGCTGCTTGGTCTGGTGCTGACCCCAGACACGAGCAGGGACCAAACCCTGTGCAGAGCTGGAGTCAGATTTAACCCAGGCTCAGGACCACACTGGAGCTGCTTCCAGTTGGCCTGGAGCCTGGGAGTTGATGTCTGGACGTGCTCTTGGGATGGATATTTTCCCTCCCTCTCTGCTACCAGTGATGGAGGAGACAGAGGCAGAATTTCAGGTAGGCTTGGGGTTGTCTCTTGGCTTTCCTGCCTGCCTCTTTTGTAAGTCTTTCTGACTTCCCAGCATCTGTAGGTTTGGGACCAAGGAAAACCCAGAATTAGACACCTGACACTAAAATTTGAATGCTTCATACTGCTTTTTTCCTGCTCAAACATTTATAATCCTGGGAATTCTGGTAGTCCTTTGTCTGATAGAAATCCCACAGACTGGCCTTAAGGACTTGCTGAAATCTCTTTGGGGTTCTTTGTATAATTTTTGCTTGGGGATCTGCAGTTTAATATGCCATTTGCCACATTAATATTTTATTTGCCACAGTGGAAAACACAGCATTGTTTAGGATTAATGGCTCCTGAAAAACAGAGAAGTTTCTGGGAACGTGGGCTGACTCAGGAGTGTGGGAGAACCCTGCTGAAGAGGGGGAGACAGAAATGCTGGAGGAGTAACAGGAGCTTCTTGGAAACACCTGAGGAGAGTGGAAGGAACCAGTAGCTATAGATTTATTTTATTTGCATCAAATTCTCAGTCCTGAATGACTGGTGGGTATTGTTCACACACACAAAAAATAAAAAAGAAAGGAACCATAACTCTTGACTCGTTACATTTTTAAGGTGCTGTGCTTGGCACTGCACGATGGGGGAAAAAATGCAACTGTAGGAAAAGAAAATTAGTCAAAACCAGAGAGCTGGCCAAGAAAATTCATATTTGATATTCATTATCTTATTACAGATGGTCACAAGCCAAGTGCTGATATCCTGTAGGCAGCACTCAAGGGATAAGTGTGCTTTAAATGAAAAGTCTGGTTTTCTTTCTGCCAAATCTGCAGATTTTCCTTCTCCTGGGATTGCTCCACAGGCAAAGGGAAACTGTCCTTAAAGGCCCACACTGTCCCTTGGGATGGGAATCAGGCTGGTGTGCTCAGGAAAAACCCAAATTTATCATTCTGGGATCTGATCATTCGTCCATACCCTCAGCAGCTAAAGGAAATGAGGGGTAAAGAGATGGTTATTTAGTTATTTTTAAAGAAATAGTTATTTAGTTCTTTTTAAATAAATGGTTAATAAGTTATTTTTAAAGAAATGCTTATTTAGTTCTTCTTAAAGAAATGGTTATTTAGTTCTTTTTAAGGTAATGGTTAATTAGTTATTTTTAAAGAAATGGTTGTTTAGTTCTTAAATAAATGCTTATTTAGTTCTTTCACAGAGGTTGGGTGCATGAGGGATACATTGGAAATGTGGCATTGATGTGGCACATTTTGCATATGAACTCTTGAAAACAAGATACCCACTTTAAAATATTAAAAAAAAAAATAAATTGAGGGAACTCTACCCAGGATACAACTAAGTCTCTCCCTTTGTAGTGTAAGTAACTAAAGAAAATTGTTCAAGCTTCTAATTTTGAAAGTGAATGTTCTAAGAAGGGCAAATTTGGCATTACAAATAAACCCCTGCATGCTTTTCTGTTGTTTCTGAGTTGTCAACACAGGGAGCTGGTCAGGCTGGCCCATTTCAAACAGTGACTAATGGACTCCTGCCTCCAAAATTAAATGATTAATTGCACAAGGCCAAGACAACAATCCTTATTTGATTGCGCTGATTACAGGGCTGCTGGTTTTTGGAGTAAAGCGAATATTTTTTGTCCTAATTTCCTAAATCCTCCAAGGAGTGAGGCAGCTCTGACAATAATTCAGAGCTGTGGGGTTGCTCAGATCACGGGGTGACCTGCCCAAGGTGTCTCATGTGTCAGGAGGTCGTTGGGATCCTGGCTGGAGCTGCTGGGATAAATCAGCCCAGCTTTCCCAGCCCTGATCCATCACTCCCAGCCGCTGGGTGATGGGTGGACCTGTCTCACCTGCTCTGCCAAGGGGCCTGAGGAAGCTGCAGATGAATTATCAGAGCCTGAGCCTTGGTTCAGGGCAGTAAAACAGGCTCCTGGGATCGCTGTTGGGCAGATTTTGACATCGTGCCTTTCCAGGCTGCTTTTTTCTCTTGGACTTTTAGCTGTTGCAGTCACCAGGAAATTGTCTCTTGGCTTGGCTGAACTGGTGTTAATGGTGCTCTGAAGCAAAATTGTGCAGTCAGCTTGGAAATTAATACTTCGGTTAATTTGTTAGCAGACTAAAGACTTTGAATTTTTTCCTCATATCTTCCTAATAACAGGATAACTTAGGGAGCTTTTTCCTAATAATTATAATTTTACTTTTAAATCGGTTTCATGGTATCATTAACCTGCTTTTGGGTCCTTTTTCTCCTATTTTATCCTTCTTTTTTGTAACTTTCAGGAAAATTGTACCATGACATTGGTCTCACGGTGGTTGTTGTGTTTTACCTTTATCACAGCACAGACAGAAATAAAAAGGGAAGACACTTCTAAAACTCCAGAAAGACACACTAAGATAATAAAGGTGCTCCATCCCTTGTCCCCAGTCCTTCTCCAGCTCTCCTGGAGCCCCTTTAGGCACTGGAAGAGGCTCTGAGGTCCCCCTGGAGCCTTCTCCTCTCCAGGCTGGACACCCCCAGCTCTCCCTGTCACATATTCAGCCTTTTGTCACCTTTTGCTGTGGCATCTGGGCAGGACCCAGCACAAGAACCCTCTTTCTTTCCTCTTACAGGTAGTAGCTTAAAGAGTTCAGCCAGAGAGCTTTCACTGCCATGTCTGTGAGTTCCTCAGGGAGCAGGTGGTGTTGCTGTCAAAATTACTCTTTTGGGCAGTAAAATGAGTGAAACAGGAACCAACTCTTCCTGTGTCTGAGCTTCCCTCTGCTGCCCCACTCTGCAGTATGTAATAATCCATCCTGACACCACGAGGCCTCTTTGAGCTGGCAGGGTTTGGTTTAGCAGCTCTAATGGAGCTGCAGCCTGGAGTGGATGTTTTCCCACTGTACCTTCCTTCCCAAAGCCTTTCTCCTTTTCTATCGTTTGCCGCGGCGTCGGGAATGCATCACTGGGAGAATGGAAAACAAATAAAGCACAAATATCATTTTGCTCTGCAGTGCAGCACTTCAGAAGAGACAGATTTCTGTGAGCCATTGGTTCTTTTAAAGTATAGTGTGTGCTGCGATGACAAATGTACAGCTTTGATGTTTCCTGCTCCGCTCGCCCGTGACATTGTAAATCAGTGTTTTGCTTTCTCGTACTCCATCATTATTAAACTTGGTGTAACTCTGGTTACAAGCTCCTGGAAACCACGTGTCTCACTCTGCTCTCCTGTGTCCCAGGGGAATTATTGTGTTTGAAAACAGCAGCTACATTCTGGAGCCATTGGAAGGTGCTACAGGCGAACACAAGATCTACCGAGCGGAGAATCTGAGAGTAGCCCCGGGGTCTTGTGGCCACCAGCTGGACATCCCTGCCACGATGGCTGCTGCCACTGCCACATCACAGCGTCCTCCAGCTGGCAGGGTAGGTGGCTGATGTGCATTTCTGTGCTTGGTTGGCAGCATTTCCATATTGCTGCCCACCACAAGAGTCTCTACTGAGCAAAACCTTATCCCGCACCATCGACTTCCCTCAGTGCCGTCTGCTGAAGTGCAGATGAAATTATTTGTTAAAGCTTTATTACTTTTCCTGGACTCTGCATGCATAACTTGCTTTTCACTTCCTTCTCAACACAGAAAAGTTTATGGGTTCATATTATGGTCATATATTTTGGTTCTTGTATGGTTAGAACCAGAATTTGAGGCTCCCTGAGAATACTGAGCGATGTCTGGAAAAGTTCTTGCCCTCCCAAGATGTAAGAGAACATGATAGCTGGGATACTTTGCTAATACCAGGTTTGGAACCTCTGTATTTTAGTAGCAAAGTCTCTTATGCAGACAAAACAAATGCTCAGCATATTATTTTACAGCTGTATTATTGGAGTTGCTGTGATGTTGGCAGAAATGTACTTCATGTGAGATGCATTTACCTAATGGAAATTAGAAAATTAAATGAGCCAAAAACCAGGAAGAGGAAATGCTGTAACAAATTCATCTGCATGTTGGATGAGTGTTGTAGAAAAGGCTGGGTTATGTGTTCAGGAATTATATAATGATAAAAATCTGCCATCAGCATTTATTGAATGTCACACATGGGGATTTTTACTTGCATGTATGACTCAGGCTTTGCCTCAGGTCCATTGTTAAGGAAAGCAACCTAAGTGACATCTCTAGATATAATTATGCAATGGAATTAATTTATTTTACGTTTTTAGGAATATTACATTCAGAGCATTAGTCTTTGCATGCAACATAAGAATTAAGTGTAATTCTAAAAGCATGCGTGGGTGGAACACATTGGAAATACAACTTTATTAAGTTTTCCCCAAATTATTTGTGACTTTGAATTCCACTGAAGTAGTCAGTGTAATGCAGAAATAAAATGTGTGCATGTAACAAATTGACACAATCAAAGCCATTTTATTATTACCCTTATGGTTCTTCCATTTTGCTGCTGGCTTCAACTGCATCTTAAATTTCACTTTAAATATCTGAACAATATTTTTGCTGTGGTTCAGTGGACATAATTATAAAACCTGTCAGCAGTCACATCATATGGATAGGTACAATATATTTAATGAGTAAGTTGGTTAAGCTTATAATGTAGGAATTTTGAAAGCTGTCAAATGTCATGTGTGCAGTGAGTTTTCATATTTCAGTGTTGTCACTAAGCAGTCTGTCAGTGGGCACGTCAAATAAAGATGACCTGCAAAGTGGGGAGACATAAAGCTGCTCCAAATCATGCTGGGTGACAGAAATAAGCAGAAATCTGGTCTAAGGTTCAGGGCATGATTAAAATATTTGACTTCTTGACAGGTCTGGGGGAAGATTTTTGTTTGGTTTTATCCCCTGACTCTCCACTCAACCACCTACACGAAATTCTTATTGAGCAGAGCTGAAATGTGAGATCAATATATCACCAAGGGCTTTGGTTAGATGCAAGTGCAGGTGAAGGATGGGACAAGCAGCAGCCTCAGCTCCCCAGATCCAAACAGGAGCTCAGGGCAGGAGATGCAGAGGCTGTCACAGGCCAGCTGTGCCCTGCTGGAGCGGGGTCTCTGTGAGTGCTGGGTCATTCCCTGACTCACTGGACCCTCAAATTGCACCAAGGAGCATTTTCCAGCTGAGCTCCGTTGAGACAGGACCCTGCAGAATGTCTGGTGTGTAGGACCCTTCCTGCAGCAGGGAATTTTCTCTGTAGCCACAAGGAAAAAAATCCATTTTGGTGATGCTGGTGACCAGGAGCAGGGAGGGGATTTTTTAGGGCGTGAGGAAAGAGAGGCTGCACCACTGCAGTATCCATCCACGCCATGCTAATCCCCAGGCAGGGAATGCTGAGAAAGGGGTACAGCTGCTGGGACAGCAGGTTTGGGACAGCATCAGAGGGGGAAGAAGCAGAGGAGAGAGACCATAGTCAGTGGAACAAAGCCCATTGTCCCCCAGCTCCCATGACTGTGTCACTGACTCCTCATTTCAGTTCTGAAGGATTAACTCAGCAAAAGGGATTGTGCATTGATGCAGCTGGCTGCAGAGAGCAAGCTGAAAGAAGCCATAATTAGGTATATTTCATAAATAAATATTGTATCCTAGGAATTCACATAGCCTTTGGGCGAATCTCAGGAACAGATTTGTTATGCAAGTCAGTCACCAGAGGCTTATGTGATTTTTATGCCTGCTAGCCAATTTCTCTCCAGCTCACTCCAGTCCAAACAGTTTTACTCTTGGTAAGAGGGAAATGTTCTAAACTGTCTGATGTGACAGAGCTCTCCTTGCTCCTTTGAACTCAGATTTTCCTGTGTCATCTTTTCTTCTTCACTCGGAGGAGGATGAGAGGCACCTTGGAGATGCATCTCTTTGGGACCTCACAATAAATTTCAGGATGGGAGAGTTTTAGTGTCTGAGATATTGATTCCATCTCAAACAGCAGCCAAATGGCCATTTGCCTTTTGTGGCACCTCACTCGTGTCAGAGAGACATCACACCCCAGCACCAGAAGTTTTAAATCAATCTACCTCAGCTCATTTGCCAGAGCCCCTACTCAGTGTCATCCTGTCGAGTGTTTGCATCCTTGGTGTTTATTTCATTAACAGCAGCTTCAATCCTCTCTCCATCCATAAATATGGTCCAAATGAAACTTTTTTTCAAGTTACTGGAGTTTGCAGCACTACTAATTGTTAGGTTGAAAGTCAGATACTAAAGATTGCATCACTCACTTTTCCTCTAATTCTTGCAAAACATCAAAATCATTAATCTGCAGATAGTGAAGAGGAACAGTTTGATAATATGAAGAAAACTTTGTGAAATCTGGCTGGAAGGAGATGTCCAGCTCTGGCTGTGCTTAGGGGATCTCTCCGTTTGCCTTGGAGCAGTTTTCCTTGGAAAGCTTTAGTCATGTTGTAGGTTAAAGAGCTTTGCTGCAGCTCAAGACATCATGGTCAGTTGTAGGTCAAACATCTGTTTGAGCCCTCTAAGTTCTGGCAGGAAGATCTGATACTCTGCTGAGACCTCTTTTCCCTAAATGTTCTAGTCCAGACACAAGGAAGGAATGATGGGATAGATGCTGCTGTAAATCACAGAACTTTTACAGGCACTAATAGGTCATTTAAAATTAGGGTAGCAAAGGAGCTGTGACATGTTTTGTACTCCTACAAAATCATTTCTTCACTGATTTTTCAGTTTTTTCAGGTTTTTTCCAGTTTTTTCAGTTAAGCATTATGATTCTTTTAGACCTGTATTTTATATGAATATGCAGATAGAGAATTGAATGCGTGCCTTTCATTTTTCAAGTATTAATTTGCTTCCCCAGACACTGACAGTTGCTTTTTTATTTTTGGGTTTTTCTTCCTACATAATTTATCAGTTGACTGCTTGACCTCTTCTCTGCTTCACTCGATATCCCTTTATCTCTCATTTTTCTTAGTAACCAGTTTGTCTATTGTGTGAAATGTTTGTTAGAAGTTACCTCATCTCTCCTTTAAAAGTGCCTCGGAAATAGCAAAGGGCTTTCTGCTGGAGGGGATATTCTCCTGTGAGGAAAGATAACTCAAACGTTTCAACTGCAGAAAGCTGAAAGGTTGAGAGAGACTTTGCACCACTCTCCTGCTTTCTGTGATCAAACCCTGAGAGGATTTGTAAGGAAAACTTCCATGAGAAGGAGGAGGAAGACGCAGTAAATCTGCGTGTAGTAAAATCTTAGTAAAACATAGGAAACCTGAGACACTGTGTGTTTCCTCTTGCAAGCACTTTGTTGTATCAGGGCTGAAAACAAAATAAGCCTTTCATGGTTTTTTTGACAGTACAAGAGGGAGGCTCTGAAGACAACGAAGTACGTGGAGCTTGTTATTGTGGCAGATAATCGTGAGGTAAGGAACTGCCAAATAAAAAGTTGTGTGAGCAGCAAAGGGGCAGCTCAGTGCAGTTACCATGGTGCTGCAAATAAGGTGCTTCAGACAAGAATATGATGTTTTCTGAGCTAAATCATCCTCCCTAATTAGGGTTGAGCAAGGAATGAATTATTAAGATAGGACAACAGTGATACTCGGTTGCGAAATTTCTTGTAATACCTCAGAAGGAGTTTGAAATAACTCTGTCAGTATGGGAGAAGGGGCAAATAAATATTCATTCCTTGAGCAAGTTGAGTCCTCACTGCCACTCACAGTGCCCTCAGTGGGGCTGTCAGGGCTTCTGGAACAGTGCTTGGCCATCACATTCCGTGGAGCACGACTGCCTTCCTGAGGGTTTGCAAAGGGAGCTTCAAAGCACCCAGCACTGGCTGTAAAAATGTTCCAGTGAGCTGAATGGCAAAGATCTGAATCCTGGCTTGAATTATTTTGCTGCCTTTTTTTATTATTATTATTTTTTTTGTCTCTTTGAACATTGCTACTTAGAGAGTTGCAATCACTCTTTGCAAGACCTGCTAAGAGAAGAACTATTTCCTAAAATATCAGTTCTGAAAAGACCCCTGTATAATACTTGGAGATTTTTTAAAATCTTTTCATGAGAACCAAAATCCTGTCCCACATTCTGGACTTCTTTTGGGGCACACTGTGGATCCAGCAGAAGTCTGTTGGGGGATTTTGGCTGCACCCTAATTCCCAAAGATCCCTGATGTGCTGGCTCTGGGGGGGAAACTCTGGGACATTTGTGCTGCTGGTCCATTGATCCTTTACATTCCAAGTTTCAGAGACAAGGCAAAGATGTGGAAAAAATTAAGCAGAGGCTGATAGAAATTGCAAACTACGTTGATAAGGTAAGAACATGAGGATTGTTTCCCTCTTCCCAACCTTCCCACACTTTCTGTAGGATGCTGAAGGAGCTAGCCCTGCAGCTTTGCTGGTACTCCAGTGTTTCAGAGCAAAACTCCTGGAAAAGCAAATTTAAACCTTTCATTTGCCTTTTGATACACAAAGCCATGAGCACTGCTGTGCTGCATATGGGATGTAAAGATCTATTCCTAACAAAAAGCCCAATTTAGCCCTAGGATTTTATTCACCAGGGAAGAGGGTGGGGATAATCACCTATAGAACATCCTATGGAAAAAATAGGATTATTTTTAAGAGAAGTTTGGAGAACAAAGTCATTTGTAGCAACAAGGGAAGGTCCAATTGTAAGGCCAACAAAGGCCTGTGAAAACACAGATAGTGAGATGTGTAATCCAAGGAAGATGGCAGAATTAAAAATCAGGAAGCAGAGTTGATAGCTGAGTGAGAGCAATAAGAGAGAGACATACGCTGGATTTTTTTGGTCTTGAAATAATTCCTTGACAGTAAACAATAAAGTCTCTAGGAATGCTCTAGAGTGGTTTTTGAACAAATTAGAGTTTATTTTTGTTAGGTTGTATGACCAGAAAATATTAGGACTCTAGTAGTGAAATTATAACTGAGAGTGTCTTAATTTATCTGAGAACTTATCAAGTGATACTTCAAGGGCAGTAGCTCAAGGAGAAGCATTCCTGATTAAAAACAAGCTGCTGAAGACACCTCCACCTCATCCATAATTGTCTTGCTGACTTATTGCCAGAGGACAGGTGTTTATATGTTACCTGCTCAAAATTAATTTTGCATATTGTAATATATTTTTTGTTTCATGCTTAATTTATGCTCAGCAAACGCTGGTGTTCTGCAAATGTCTGGAATGCATGGAAACAAGACAAAGATCTACTGGGTGCTTTCCTCAGCCTGTCAGGCAAATCTGGACTTGATCAACCCCTGACTCCTTCCTCACATTACTCTCACATTAGAATTGTTGTCGTGGCTCTGCTGATGTTGCTCTGGCTCCCCTCTTGAGGCAAAATGGCATTTTCTGGTGGGGGAATAGATAAAATCACTGGGGTTTATCTGCTCTGTGCAAGGCTTGATGAGCCTGGCTCGTTTTCAGCTGTTACTGTGAACCCCAACCATAGCACAGCCCAGTTCCTCTGCCTCTGCGATGGGATCTGTGCAATCCAGGGTGGGGCAGCCCTGGGAGGCTCATCTGCCATGGTCTGGAGTTCCTTCAGAGCTGAAGGACATGGGCAGGGAGTTCAGGGTCGGGTAGGACAGGGTCTCTTTGAATGCCTGATGGGTATTGAGTTGGGTCAGAACTGTTTTCTGGAAGTCTGGGAAATATTTAGTCTGAGTTCTGTCAGGTGTTTTGCCCTGAAGAAGAAATTGTTTTAACCTCTACAAGAAAAGCTCATTATGTTTTTGTTGAAATATTCTAGTCTGAAATATTTTTTAGACACATATTTCCTACTTTTCTCTTCTCTTTAGTTCTACAGGCCACTAAACATCCGAGTGGCCCTGGTGGGAGTGGAGGTGTGGAATGACATGGATAAGTGCTCCATTTCCCAGGACCCTTTCACCAGCCTGCATGAGTTCCTGGACTGGAGAAAGCTCAAACTCCTGCCTCGGAAAGCCCACGACAATGCACAGCTGATCAGGTAGGCTGGACTCTGCATTTGATACCCACCAGGATTGTGGGGATTTCAGGGATTTCAGGATAGCTGTGCTGAGTCCTTCCCCAGCTGCTAAGCTCTTGGAAGGTACATCTGTGTTCCTGAGGGTTTGCCTGTCCCCTCTGCAAACATCAAACCCAAATTCACTCTGCAGGGCCCTGCAGCAGATGCTCCAGGTGAGTTTGCTCTCCCAGCCCTGGTGCTCAAAGCCTGTCCTGAGTACAGCTTGTGTAGAGCAGGAGGTTGTAATCAGCTGCTGCATGCACAGGGTGTGAATTTATAACCAGTTAAAACTGCTCTCAGTCTGAATTGTCAGTGGAAAAGGCAGTCCTGCTCTGACCCTAAGTGAAGCCTATTTCTTAATGAAAAGACCTCAGTATGCTTTAAAATGCTGTCTGATTTAGACAATTCATTTGCATTCATGATTTAAAAATTAAACCATAAACATATTTTACCCTGCTGATTTTTCTTGGAATAAGGAATTGAGTAAAGGTCCCTGTCAACCCAAACCAGTCTGTGGTTCTGTAAAAGTAAAAGCACTCTAAAAAACAAAAGGTAAGAGGAATACCTCTTTGTTGAATAGGTATTATTTTGACCAATTGTCTATTCCTTATACTGAGCAGATAAACACAACTGATGTCTCAGTAATTAAAAGGAGTTATTTACTTCTTACATTACCTGAATGAGAATAAATTGAGCCTTTCCAAACTGTCCCCCCTGAGATATTCGATTGCTCTATATGTATAATAACACTTGGTTTGAAATTATTACATTCAAGGCTGTGCATCATCACAAGTAGCACATAAACTTCCCCCTGCATTACAACAGCCCTTCTTTGAGTTACAAACATCATTTTTATGCTTGTACTCCTGTTCCCCACTTCAGAAACAAAGGAAGGGAAGAAGGACCCTGTTGCAGCAGTAAAAACTAAGGAGGGTGATCCAATGGGAGTGATCCATTGGGAGGGACCCAATGGGGGTGATCCATTGGGGGTGATCCAATGAGGGTGATCCATTGGGAGTGACCCAATGGGGGTGATCCATTGGGGGTGATCCAATGAGGGTGATCCATTGGGAGTGACCCAATGGGGGTGATCCATTGGGGGTGATCCAATGAGGGTGATCCATTGGGAGTGACCCAATGGGGGTGATCCATTGGGGGTGATCCAATGAGGGTGATCCATTGGGAGTGACCCAATGGGGGTGATCTGTTGGGGGATGATCCAATAAGGGTGATCCATTTGGGTGATCCAGTGTGGGTGATCCATTGGGTTAATCCAATGGGAGTGACCCATGGGGGGTGATCCATTGGGGGTGATCCACTGGGAGTGATCCAGTGAGGGTGATCCAATGGGGATGATCCATTGAGGGTGACCCACTGAGGGTGATCCAGTGAGGGTGATCCATTGGGGATGATCCAATGGAGATGCTCCATTGGGGGTGTCCCAATGGATGTTCCAAGAGCTGGGACACCGTGGCTCAGTTCAGCTGAGGCAGCACAGCCCATCTGGGCTTTCCTTTGCTTTAGAGCTGCAGATGAGAGGGGCAGAAAGGGGGCCTTTGTTTGAGGGTGGCAGGAGCCCAGAGCTGGGAAGGACAGGGCGTTATCTTGGCACTGACTGGTGGCTCTGTCTCCTCTCCCCCTCCTGCAGCGGGGTGTACTTCCAGGGGACGACCATTGGCATGGCTCCCATCATGAGCATGTGCACAGCAGAGCAGTCTGGAGGGGTCGTCATGGTAAGTGGGGCAAGCTCTCAGCCACTCGGGCTGGCCCAGCTGGGGTGACACCACACCAGGACCTGCAGTCCTGCCTCCTGAACCAGCCCCATCTGGCCCATTTTCCGTCTCTCTGTCGTTCATATCCCCCTTCAGATTGCTTGTAAATGATAGTTTCCATAGTGAAAAAAAACCAAAATATTGCGTTAAAATATAGCAGGGCCTCTTTGCCAGGAGTTTATTCCTCTAATTGTTTTTGAACCAGGTGCTGAGGTGCTGCGAAGGAAGAGAACCAGAAGATGTATTTGTTATACACTAGAGTATACTTGTGTTACAGGCAGCAGCAGTCTATCCTGAATCTTTTATTATATTGATTTTATTCTGTATTTATAGAGTTTCCTGTGTTAGGCCTTATTTTCCATCTTTGCAGCAGTGGTTTTATTGCATTGCCAGACAGAGAGAACAAACAATGGCAGCATTTATTCCAGCTGAGTCTCTCCCAGGGCACTACTGTTGTTGTTAGATGCAAGACATGGTGAACACACAAGCAAACATCTTGTCCAATCTCTGGAAGGAGTTCTGATGTATTTTCTTTTCTGATTTTTTTCTTTTTTTAAATTTCAGTTTTGCAGTGTTTTGTGCTAAGACAGAGGGAAGAAGCTTTAAACTAGAACAATCAAATCACATAATTTGGGAAAAGTTGTGTCAAAGTTGTAGAAAAGACAAAGGTTTCAGGCTCTTGATAGCTTGAGAAGCTGAGTCTGTAATTGCTGTCTGTAACACTTAATCACTGGGTACCTGGGGGACAGGTACAAAAGGAAAGGGAGGAAAAAAAGGAAGAAAGCTGTAGGAGTGTCTCAGTGCACTCCCAAGTCTTGGTAAAGGCACAGATGAGGCAGAGAGCCCCATTTTACCCATTTGACTCAGCCCTGCAGTCACTGCTTTGGCTTTATCTGCAGTCAGAGATGCCCTTAATGATGACTTTTTGTCCTTTTTATTTTTTAGCATAAGATTGAAAACACTCCACAGTGTAATTTACAGCCAAGTCAGTTCTCTTTGCTCTGGAAGCTGTCATTTTAAAGAGAAATAATTACAAATAGTTCATTCCAGTAACAAGAAAACAAAAATCAGCATTTCTTTAGAATGTTCCCATGGAGAGGGGACTGATATATATGTCCAGGAGAAACCCAGGCTCTGTGGAAGAGTCCTGGGCCAGAATGAATCTCCTGCCATGAAGGGGAGCACGATGTTACCCAGAGACTCAGTGAATTTAAGCTTTTGAGGTGCAAATTAAATTGCAACTTGCACAGAATAACCAGAAATGTTCTGTGGCTCTTTAAACAAATACTCAAAATGAAGCCAAATCCAAATGAAGCAAACACTCACCCCAAAACCCAAAAGTGCAGCTGCCCAACCATCCCCTGAGTTGGCAAAGGCTGATTCAGGCACAGACTAAACATATTTCTATTTATTGGTACCTGTACCCTGGCACAGCTGCCCAGGGCAGAAGTGGAGTCCCCACTCCTGGAGGGATTTAAAACCCTGTGGAGGTGGCACTTGGGAACATGGGGCAGTGGTGGCCTTGGCAGTGCTGCTGGGGCATGGTTGGACTCCATGATCTTAAAGGTCTTTTCCACCTAAAAGATTCTGTGATTCTATGAAAGAATGAATCACTCTCAGCCTGGGAAGGTCAGGGGCTCAGGTGTCTCAACACTGCACAAATGAACATTTGGCCAACCTCATAATTCAGCCAATTTCTCACCCATCCCACCCCCAGCGCTCAACACCAAAAGCTTCCACACTTTAAAACCTGTTCTGGAAGAGAAGACAATGAGAGACTGCGTCAGAAATGACATTTGAATACAAAATCTGGAGTGACTCTTGTCTGATGTGATTTTCCTGGTTCTTTTTGCAGTTAGTCAGCTCTACTGTATGATCTAAATTCCTCTGTCATGCCTCCCTGGGAGCCTGCCTGTCTCTTTTCTATAGGGCTGAGCTCTCTCAGTGGGTGACACCCTGTCTGCCATTAATTTGCAGAGGAACTCAAAGCAGGGAGAGCAGCCATGTGAGTGTGAGGAGCTTTAACAAGACCTTTATCATTTCATTTCCCTGTGAAGTTTCTGTAGTGTCACAGAAAAACCAAAGAGAAGTTGACATTAAAGCAAGTCTTTGACGTGATTCAGTCTTCATTCTTCTGTTTCCAAAGGTTGCCCACTGAATTCATGGATTTAAAAGTAAAATATTTCTGAGAGAAGAGGAAAGTGACTTTTTATCTGGGCAGATGGTGATGGGGCAAGGGAGAAGGGTTTTAAACTTACAGAGGAGGGACTTATGTTGGATATTAGGAGGAAATTGTCCCCTGTGAGGGTGGGCAGGCCCTGGCACAGGGTGCCCAGAGCAGCTGTGGCTGCCCCTGGATCCCTGGCAGTGCCCAAGGCCAGGCTGGACATTGGGCTTGGAGCACCTGGGACAGGGGAAGGTGGGGTTGGGACTGGATGATTTTTGAGGTCTTTTCCAATTCAAACCATCCTGTGACTCCATGAACCGAGTGAACATACTGAAAATACCAGGAGCAGGGCATTTGCCTGTTGGATCTGTAGGTGACAGCATTTAATGATTAGGATTTGATTTAAATCCCAGTGGAATGAAGAAGAATTCAGCTGAAAGCAGCTGCATGTTTTGTGCAACAGCTTATAATGCCTTAACAGTAGATGGTTGCTTATTCAGTGGTTGTGAAATGTGTTTGGTAATGACTTTTACTGCTCAAGTTAACTTTGAAGGACCCTGGTGGAATAAATCAAAGTCACATTGCTATTCATTTCTTTAGTCCTTGTGATTCTTAAACGGTCTCGGTATCAAATGGAACATGTCACTGTTTGTTTTGATAATCTTCATTTATGCTGTCTTCAAATAACCTCTTTTGCTGAGGCATCACATTCCTCCTTCTAAAAACCCTCTCTAGAAGCTGATAAAATTGCATTCCAAGTGGATCTGAGCAAGTAATGAGAACCGCATGGGCCAGAATAATTGTTTGCCTTTTCAAGTCCCAAATTACATTTCACATCATTTATTGCTCCACTTCTGGAGTGGACTGTGTGAATCCTTATTTTTAGTTTTAGTTGACAGCTTCAGAGTATTCAGAGAAATATAATCACTGCTCAGTAAGTGGAGGAGATACTGGAAAAATAAAGAAAGTCTGAGCTCAATTTGCTGTGTGTCTGTAGCTCAGTGAGGAGTTTCTGCCTTGACCAGATAGCCTGAATTTCAAGGCATCATCCAGTGACTCAGTGGTAAATTATATGGAATTATTTTGCTGTTTTCTTAATCTTCAGCCCTGCACTTTTTTCCATTTGAGTGAGAGGTTGTGCTCTTTTTCTGACATCAGGTTCAATTACACTGAATTCTCTAAGTATTCCATCAATTACTGTTGCACAAAGATAAATCCATCTGTGTCAGACCAGTATCTAGATAAGATATCTCATTATGTAGGTGTTGTGCAGGACAAACTGCACATAAACTGCCTGTCACAAGATTTTTATATCAAGATTTTAAAATTCAGGAATTTTTTTTTAGTGAGAGATTTTGTGAACATATAGAATTATTTTGAGTTTGTTTCAATTACAGAAGGAACATTTTGTCTTGTGCAGAATGACTGTATTCTCTTCAAGATTTTGTTTGCTATTTGAGAAATTATTTACTAAAAATATTAGCCCAGACAGATGAAAGAAGAGACTCTTAAATCTACCCCAAGTCATGTACTAAGTCCTCCATTAGTACATAGATAATGTTTTAGACAGTTTTACCTTTCACTTCTTTTTTGTCTGGAGTTTGGCTTAGATGATGCTGAAAGAGTTATTTAAAGTGAATATATTCATGCACGCTTCTAGAGCAGGCAGCTGTACACAGTAATTCCATTTACTGACTGATAAATAGTGGATCATGCATTTATATTACATGTTTATGCCTTCAGGGAAAGCTTTCTTACAAGTGTAGTGGATTTTTTTTTCCCTCAAGGAAAATGATCAGTGTGGAAAGGTCTCTTACTTGTGGTTAAGCCAAAACATCATTCTGATCAGCAGCCTGTACTCAAATCATGCAGTGAATTTCTCAGAAATGATTGTCCCAAAAATCAGCATTTAAACATGGATTAATGTTAACATTTCAAACTGACACTTTCAACATTTAGAGCATTTATAGGTTAATAAGAGGCCATGGAAGATTTTGGCTTACTTTGGCCTTTCATTTTAAAAAGGAGATTTTTAAAGGTTCTTGGTTTTTTCTTAAAAGGCTTGTGAAATCTTGGACATTTTGATATTAAAGAAACAGTCTGAAGCAAGTTAAATAGACTGAGTGAAATCTCTTGCTGCATTTTTAATTTGCCTCCTGACATGAAGGACTTCTCACTTCTCCCTCACCACACTCATCCTCACCCCTACATTATTGCCCTTTCCTACACTCCATGTCTGGTGACCTCTCTCTGCCACTGCTGGCACTTGGGGGTTTGGGGCTTAAAATTCTTCAACAGCAGAATTTTAAGCCCCAATAAAGAGATGTTCACAGCTGCTCAATGGTTTCAAATGTCCGATGGGAAAACTGGGTGGCCAGGAGGGCTGTCCTGAAATTCCCACTCTGCCCTATACAGGGATGAATTTAAACTTGAGTTTGTTTAACAACAGAGTAACTTCAGCTGCTAAACTTATAAAACATGTCAAAGGACAGGCAATAGGACCTTAGAGGGGGAATGTGTGCCTCGAGTTGGGTTTGGATGCTGAGCTGACTGGTTCTCCTGTGGATTTTGTTTTGAAGGATCACTCAGAAAACCCTCTGGGTGCAGCAGTGACGCTGGCTCATGAGCTGGGGCACAATTTTGGGATGAATCACGACACACTGGAGAGGGGCTGCAACTGCAAAGCTTCCACTGATAAAGGGGGCTGCATCATGAACCCCTCCACTGGGTAAGTGCCAGGCTCAGGCTGGTGTGCTGCACAAGCTACAGTGGGACAGCTGTGGCTTCATTTTGTGCCTCAGGAACATTGAAAGGTAAAACAGAAAAGGTTTTCAACCTGTTAAATCTTGTTGCAGTTATCCTCTTCAAGGTGAAAAAACTAAATGTTATCAGAGCACATGTACTATTGCACCTTTCTGTTTCCAGGTTAGCAATGTGAGAGACAAAAATGCTATAACAAACTGGGTAATTTAAAAAAAAACAAACCAATCCACAACCAAACTGCACTGCAAGTGTTAAATCAGAATTTCACCTCCTCTCATCTTGCCAGCTGAGCATCAATCACAATAGGAAATGAGCCAAGACTGAGATGAGTGGGTAGGAAATTCAGTAATGCAGGAAATGCACTCTTAGGCTCTCTGCAAACGCTTTGTCTCGTGCAGAGCAGGTTTTCAGTTCTGCACAAACTTTTGTTGCAAGTGTAAAGCACTTTTAGCTGGTGAGAAAATGAAATCTGCAAGGTCGGTGGGATTAAGGCCCCACTTAAGAGGGAGATCTTCCAAGAAAAGAGAGCAGAAATGTGGGAAATACAAACCAGTGAGCCTGTGGTCACTTCTGTGGGTGCAGGGCCAGCAGTTGGACTCGGTGATCCTGGTGGGTCCCTTCCAGCTCAGGAAATTCCCTGGTTCCCTGTCAGAACTGAGGGGAGGCTCTGCTGCTGGCAAAGGCACAAGAGTGTTTTGTAGACACAAATTTCAGGCACCCTGGGCAGAGTGAGCTGTCACTGCTTGCAGAGATGTATTTTAAATTCCTGTTGAAACTGAAGGATATGAGGAATGAGTTCTCCATGTCCACACTCAGACTAGGACTGAAAGGATTAAATTGAAATAAGATTTGCCAGTTAAACTGCCTATGACTGGAATCCAGTAAGAGCCAGTGGGGCAAAGATCTGCCAGCAGTGTAGGTACAGCTGGATGTGCCTTAGGACAAGAGGATGGTCTGGATGTCCTCTGATGTCCCTTCCAGCTCCAGCGTTCTCTCTGTGTGCTTAAAGTTCATCTGTTGCTTAAAAACCTCTTCTGGGAACTCTGATCAGCTCTCTCTCTGCCTTTTCCAAGACTGCAGGTTTCTGGGAAAGAAGGGGAGCAATGTGGGAGAGGCCAGGGAGGGCTGGACAGGGCTGTTCCCTGCTGGTCAGCCCAACAGCAGCCTTGGAATTCTTTCAAAGGCAGAGCTGTCACCCTCCATCGGGGCAGGAATCAGGGCTGTGGCCAGAGGCCAAGCACAGCAAGTTGAGAGACAAACAAAAGAGTTGTGAGAGTGGAGGAGAATGAGAGGGATTTCTGCAGTCTGGGAAAGAAAAATAACTCAGCTCTTCTGAGACAACGGGTGGTAGTCATCCCCGTGGGATTCATCCTGCACAGGTCAGGGCTCTGCCACACTGTGGGGACAGAGTGACCTGGGAGAGGGCTCTGAGCTGAGCTGAGCCTGGGCAGGCAGGGCTGGGCTCTGAGCTGAGCCTGGGCAGGCAGGGCTGGGCTCTGAGCTGAGCTGAGCCTGGGCAGGCAGGGCCGGGCTCTGAGCTGAGCTGAGCCTGGGCAGGCAGGGCTGGGCTCTGAGCTGAGCTGAGCCTGGGCAGGCAGGGTGGGCTCTGAGCTGGGCCCTGGGCTCTGAGCTCCTCAAGGAAACATTCCAGCTTGTGTCAGCTCAGCTGAGTTACTGGTTCTGCACCCAGCTGCTCCACTTGGCAGTGAACACAGGGATGCTCTCAGGACAGAGATTTCTGGGCACTTTCTGAACGCCTCTGGTGACAGGGACATTCAGTAGCTCCTTCCTCATTCTTCCTTCATGCTGGAGTCCTCTGGGTGTGTCTGATCCTGTCCTGCCTGCTGGATGTGCCAGTCCAGACCCTGGGCTTGGCTGGCTCAGGGCAAGGTCAGAGCAAGGCTGTGCCCACCCAGGGTTCCTCAGGATATGAGGAGTTGGATATCCCATTCCTCATCCCAAGCTGCTCAGCTCCCTCACTTTGGGGTTTCTGCAGAACCTTCCAGGCTGAAGTCTCTGCCCACCCCCAGCACCCCACAGGTCTGAGGGATTTTCACATCCTCCTCTTTGGATTTTCACCAAACTCTACAATCAGCTTGTGCCTGAGGAGGAGCCGTGGCCCCACAGCCCTGAGCAGGCTGATTGTTGGCGCTGATTATTGATTCAGAAATGGAAACTTCAACTTTGGGTCTATAGCCTTGGGCTTTATCTGCACACCGTGCTGTCAATCTGTGACAAATATTCCTGGAGAACACTTCATGCCTTGAGCCAAGCTGCATCTCACCCATTTCAAATTAACACTTTGAATATTTAATTACCCAACGTTTCTCACCAATAGCAATATTCCCTCAAGCACCATTATTGAAGGAACACTGAAAAGTTTTCTTCTCTGGAAGTGCTTCTCTGTTAAGGGAAGGCCAAATGAATGTTCCTTATCTCAAATGCACTCTGGAAATAGCCAAAAAATCAAAACTAAGAGCATCCCATGTCCATTTAGAGAGACAGCCTGCTCTCAGTGTACTCACTGCACTGCCTCTGTGCTTTTCTAAATGGTTTCAGGTAGATTTAATGAGTGAAATAAAAAAAATCTAGCTGAAGTTGATGTAAAAAGCACTGAGAAGTCCTTATCTGATGTCTACAAAAAATAGGAAATATCTAAGTTATAGCAGAAAGGCCTCTGTGAATTTAATTTTGGAGTCACTGGTGTGGTCGTGCACAAATGGGAATGTTTTAAGGCTGTTGACTTAAAAGGGATTTCATCAATTATCGTAATTTCTTTCAGTTCTTCTGTTTCAATCTTTCAAGAGGTCTTGGAAATTTTTCTTAGTGGGAAAAAACCTCCAGGGATCAGGGTGGAATTTAAACTCTGTTGGATCTGTCCTTTAATCAGCTCCCTGTAGTTTTTATTCTTAAAAGATACCAGCAGGATGAGCACCAGTTGTGTGTGAGCTACAAATGTCTAAAGAACTACTGCTTCAGCAAAATGTATTTTTTCTAACATGGAATCAAGCACAAAACCCCATGAATTTGTGTCAGGACAGGACTCTGAGAGATTCAAATATCTGCTATGAAAATCACAGAAATACTTCTGTAGAAACAGGGGTGGTTCCTATAAAAATACTATCAATAAGGAGTATTTAGTACTAAGATTAGTATTTTGTACTACAGATTATTAATATTTAAATATATTTAAATAATCATTTCTATAAATTTCATAGTATATATCCATTTCATATTGATACTAATCATATCAGTAAGGAATATTTAATACACATTCTCCTTTTTTTAATGCATCTGTTGTAATTATATTCCTCTAGTTTTTTAATTGTCTTGTACATGGACAGTTGCAAGTGACAAAGATTGAATATTAGAGAGATTTGTGAATCTTTTTCCTGAGATCTTATTATCTGGAAACTAAGGGACTGGGCTGAGCCAGTGAGGCCACTTCAGTATTCCACTTTTTTTCCAAATATCTCCCTAAAGTGTTGCGTATTAGGAGTGAAAATATTCCTCCTGACAGGCAGAAAAATACCCAAGAGTTCTGGTGCAAAAAAAATACCCAAGAGTTCTGGTGCAGCCCAAGGCATTGGGCTGGATTTCTGCCCTTGCAAATGTGAGCAGAATTTAGCACTGCAGAGCAGAATGCTGCCAATTAGCAGTGCTTGTTTATTTAATAATTTTGGAAATGCAATTTTTACATGTCCTTCTTCATCAAAATTGAGCACAGGGGTTTCCATGTTTCCATGGGGTTTGAAGCCAGGTGAGCTCCCACTAAGAAGCTGAAATATTGACTTCAGATATGTCTGAGATTTTTTTTGCCAGCCTTAAGGGAAGAAAAATTTTGATAGTTGGTGTTCTCCCCTCCTGTAAACTCAAGGGTTGAACTTCCCCTCTCCCACCTTCCTGTGTCCTTGAGTGCTGTGCTCTTTTGGCTTCCACACAGGAGATCCACAGAGGGAACTTGTCTGCAGGGAAATTTGCCCTTCCCTGCCTCCCACAGGGAGTGCTCCTTGCTGCCTTTCCCTTTCCTCTTGCTGGGTGAGGTTGATGAGAGCAGGAATCCTCCCAGGATGGGCAGTTTCACCAAGCCCATTCAGATGCTGATCCTACAGTTGTTCTTTCCCTTTGGGATGCCCAATACCTGCAGTAAAATCCACTTTCACTGGCCCCTGGTGGAAGCGTTTTCTCTTCCCAGGTTCATTTCTTGTTGCTGGATCATCCCAACCAGGGCTGGAGGAAAGGTTCCCAGGACAGAGCCGTGTGTTCCATCTCTCTTTGCCTTCCCACAGACACAAGGTGGTGGAAAATGGGGAAAGGGCTGCCTTGGGGTGTTCCCCTCCAATCCCCCTTGCACCTGGGTATGGGAATGGTGGAGATTTTCTCAGGTCTGTCCTACTGCCCTACATCCCATTGCTTCCTCTGTACATTCATTATGAGATGGAACACCTCACGTTGATCTGGGAGGTTCTCCTCAAAGCCCATGATGGAGGAAAGATTAAATAAATGCGAAATAATTTAAAATAGGAAAATATAAATTCTGTATGGGCTATTGTTTCAAGACATGTAATGAGTGTAGGTAGTCAAGAAGTGGAAAATCTGATGTGTGAGAGAGCATGGCTATTGATATCTGCTTAACAAACTTCTGAATGAAAGAACATCTCTTGGGAAACACTTATTTTAATCTAGGTCCTAGCAGACCTGGCTTTTCTGTTTTCCAAGAGTTCCAAGGCATATTCTGATTTGCACCCCTTGGTGACATACAGGAAGGAGGAAGCAGCTTCTTTAGGATAATTCCCCTCACAACAACTCCCCTTTGTCTTGTTCCTTCTGTGTGATGCTCCTGTGGAAAAGTCAAGAATGAACTGAGCCCCTCTGCCTGCCTTTTCTCCCCCTGTTCTTATCTTCAATCTTGTGTTCCCATTTCAAATTTTCACAGCTGGGATTTAAAGTCACTCTGTTTCTCTC